TCAGCTCCCTGCCCTGAGTCATCTGAGGAACCAGCAGCACATCAAACACTGACATTCAGGAAGAGGGTTAAGCCTCCCATCAAACCGGAACATTTGCAGTAAGAAAGGAAAGCAGAAGAAGGCTTGCTATAAAGGCAAAACTGGGGCTTAGCTTTCTGGTCAACAGCGTCTACGGACAAACATGACTTTTCCAAACAAAGGGGTGTGAGTAGTAAATTCTGACCATACGCCACAGCTAACAGGAAAGTCAACTTGAGAATGACCCCCTTTCTGTGTAGCCCATCTGCTAACAAAGGAAACAATGAAACGCTACAGAAGAGGACAAAGAGAAGGTCTATTTCGTTCTTTAGGACAACTGTTACAGCCAGTACTTACATAGCACTGTCTGTGTTGGCTCGTGTCCTGAAAAGCCTTACATGTATTAACTGACCTAATCATCAGAGCACTTTTATGAAGGAGCTAATAATAGTAGCTAAGAGGGACTCAGCACAGAGGGGTAAAGTAATTTGCCTAAGGTCACACAGCAGGGAGCAGAGCTGGGTTACGAACCCAAAGGCTGAGGCTAACCTACATGCTAACCTCCCTCTCACTTAGAATTAAGAAATACCATTCTGAAAAAGACCCATACTCCAGGATCCATCCACCTACCCATTTACCCCTAGGTGGCAAGCACTGAGCTAGGCTCTGTATTTACCAGGATAAGCAAACACAGAAGCTGTCTCCAGCTTTGCTGGCGTGTTCTTCAAGCCAAGAGCTTCAATGGCAGCCTTGTGGTGGTCACCATGCCCACTCCCCTGGCCGTGGCAATGGTACTGGTTCTCTTGGAACCAGGTGTGTGGCTCATTTCAGGGCTCATGTTCAGGGCTCATTTCTACATACCTGGTCTAGATCCCACTCCTCCAGCTCTTTCAGATACTACATGTACTTAATTACCTATATGAAATCACATTTTCTTTAAAATGATGAGAGTGGATCTGCTTTCTACATCCGAGCTGTGACCGAAACATTTACCTAAAGGGCTAAAGGATGATGGTTAACTAACAAGTGCCTCTAGCTAGGAGAGTAAAGAGGAGTGGCTCTAAGAGTCAACTCACTTGCATCAGAGCAGGAGAAAGGCACTCTGGGAGGAAGCCTGGTACTGAGTAGGGCCCCAAGATCCAGGGGAGAGAGCCCAGATACACAGCACTGGTCAGAGCTGGGGCAGGAATCCTCACCAGACCAGGTCTATGTCTTTGCTGAGTGCCCCAGGAAGCCCAGGACATCCCAACTAGATGATGTTTAGAAACAGCATGGAGCTAATAGAAAGCACTAACTTCTCCTAGAGCTGAGGACCAAATTGGGAGAAGAGACGGGCAGAAAGTTGCTGAGCCAGGGTCTATCTCCAAAGCTAGACGGAGCTGGCCTCTGCTTCTGGTCTGGACACCTGTTATTTTCTATCTGTATATATTTTTGTCCCAATTACTCTTCCAGTATATGATAAAAATACATGTAATGCGTTCAAGATGTACCCCAAAACATTGGTTTTCACCCAATAGACCATGAACCAGTTTGAGTTCTCCAAGTAGAACCTAAGGATCCAAATACAGTCCTTGCTGAGTATGTATAGATCTCACTTTTGGTTGCATAGAATTTCACTTGGTGTCTGGATTAATATTATTTAATCCCCTCAAGATACACATATACTCTCTGCCTTGCCCCCACTTCCACTCACGGACCTTTGGGAGTTTTGCTGAATGAGCTGATAATGTTACTGACTCACTACACAGGAGTGTATCCAACTTGTATGCAACAAGGGAGAGTTCATTTTCCAAAGGCAAAGGCTGCTCAGATAGGGTTCTGAGGTCTGGGGAGATGACTGAGTTGGTGGCAGGGAGATAAAGTCTAGGAAACTGATCATTGTCTCTATCACACTCAAGATTTAGAGATAACATGCTTATGTGAAGTCAGCCAAATCAGCCACCATGATGATCATAAAAACTGAAAAGACCTTAGTAATTTAGTGGTTACCTCCCCTTGGTCAGTGATAGCAGCCACCTGCCTCCCAACAGTCTTTGGTCTAAATTTCATCCTGCACCTTCAGTTCAATCACATCTTGTAGAACCAGTCTACACTGCCATATTTAATACTGGTAACTTTCTAAATGACAAAACTACAACTGATCCATTGTGAGTGATTTTATCAGTATTTTTTTTAGATCACTGAACATAGGATGGGAATTTATATTACTGAGTTGAGCGCCAGCTTCTAAGGTCTTTGATGTCTTGGTGGGTGACTTCAGGTACCCACAGCACCCTCCGTTAGTATTTCTAGAACCTCCATGAGAACAATTCAACTCACTTACATCAGAGCAGGAGAAAGGCACTCTGGGAGGAAGCCTGGGACTGAGTAGGGCCCCAAGATCCAGGGGAGAGAGCCCAGATACACAGCACTGGTCAGAGCTGGGGCAGGAATCCTCACCAGACCAGGTCTATGTCTTTGCTGAGTGCCCCAGGAAGCCCAGGACATCCCAACTAGATGATGTGTAGAAACAGCATGGAGCTAATAGAAAGCACTAACTTCTCCTAGAGCTGAGGACCAAATTGGGAGAAGAGACGGGCAGAAAGTTGCTGAGCCAGGGTCTATCTCCAAAGCTAGACGGAGCTGGCCTCTGCTTCTGGTCTGGACACCTGTTATTTTCTATCTGTATATATTTTTGTCCCAATTACTCTTCCAGTATATGATAAAAATACATGTAATGCGTTCAAGATGTACCCCAAAACATTGGTTTTCACCCAATAGACCATGAACCAGTTTGAGTTCTCCAAGTAGAACCTAAGGATCCAAATACAGTCCTTGCTGAGTATGTATAGATCTCACTTTTGGTTGCATAGAATTTCACTTGGTGTCTGGATTAATATTATTTAATCCCCTCAAGATACACATATACTCTCTGCCTTGCCCCCACTTCCACTCACGGACCTTTGGGAGTTTTGTTGAATGAGCTGATAATGTTACTGACTCACTACACAGGAGTGTATCCAACTTGTATGCAACAAGGGAGAGTTCATTTTCCAAAGGCAAAGGCTGCTCAGATAGGGTTCTGAGGTCTGGGGAGATGACTGAGTTGGTGGCAGGGAGATAAAGTCTAGGAAACTGATCATTGTCTCTATCACACTCAAGATTTAGAGATAACATGCTTATGTGAAGTCAGCCAAATCAGCCACCATGATGATCATAAAAACTGAAAAGACCTTAGTAATTTAGTGGTTACTTCCCCTTGGTCAGTGATAGCAGCCACCTGCCTCCCAACAGTCTTTGGTCTAAATTTCATCCTGCACCTTCAGTTCAATCACATCTTGTAGAACCAGTCTACACTGCCATATTTAATACTGGTAACTTTCTAAATGACAAAACTACAACTGATCCATTGTGAGTGATTTTATCAGTATTTTTTTTAGATCACTGAACATAGGATGGGAATTTATATTACTGAGTTGAGCGCCAGCTTCTAAGGTCTTTGATGTCTTGGTGGGTGACTTCAGGTACCCACAGCACCCTCCGTTAGTATTTCTAGAACCTCCATGAGAACAATGACTGGAGGTTTTGTGTTGGCAGCAAACACGGGGTCAGGTCCTGGCACCTGTGTGCCTGTGGCAAGTCACTGCGGCCTTCCTAGGTCTCAGATAATAGTACCTCTCTGGCCTACTTGTGTGAGGATCAAAGGGAAACCAAATGCAGGGGACTCTTCAAGTACTCTTGCTTGGAAAATCCCATGGATGGAGGAGCCTGGTAGGCTACAGTCCATGGGGTTGCAAAGAGTCGGACACGACTGAGCGACTTCACTTCACTTCAAGTATCAGCTACTATATGAATAAATGGAAGGAAGAACCTGCATGTCGCTAGGTGATAGTGGGTAACCTTAGCTCCTGTCTACACGCCCACCTTGGAGAGTCAGCATCCTGAAGCTGAACCCCTCACTAGATCATAGTCCCCACTAACAGCTCATTCAACTCTCTAAGAAAGCCTTAGCAAATAGAGTGAATTCTGTGGAATATTTCATGGGAAGATGGGAGAGAAGATTCCTTCATCCACGCCACAGCAAAACCTAATGATCTTTTCGTCAGAAACATCTATTCTTCCTTGAAAGCTCATCTCTGGCCACCAGCAACCTGGTTGCTCTCCTCCCTGTCTAACAGAGACTACCCAGTGTCGACGGCTCTAGCCTTTCTTCACCCTTCATGTTCCCTCTGGGTCTTTCTGTGCCTCACTCTGCCACCCTCCTCTTCGCTTTGCCATCAAATTGTGGTACAGTAATTACCCCATTCATCTTGGATTTTCTTACCATTTTCTGACTCCCTGCTCAAAACATCCTAGTAAGGGTCTCCTACTCTCCTTATAAGGTGGTAAAAGTGAAAGTCACTCAGTTGTGTCTGACTCTTTGTGACCCCATGGACTATACAGTCCATGGAATTATCCAGGCCAGAATACTGGAGTGGGTATCTTTTCCCTTCTTCAGGGGATCTTCCCAACCCAGGGATTGAACCCAGGTCTCCCACATTGCATGTGGATTCTTTACCAGCTGAGCTGCAAGGGAAGCCCATAAAGTGGTGGGGGCATTTTAAATAACAACTGTTTTTGCTGTCATCAACTTTTATTTTCTTTGCATAATATCATTTGGTAATTCTGTTATTCTTAGATCCAGAAACCCGGGCACTGTCTAAAGCCAGCCCCTCATCTGGCACTTAGGGACTTGCCTAAGGTGACGGGACAGGTCTGGGCCACTGACAAAGTAGTGCTGACCCCTAATCCATTGCTCATCTTGCTGTATTAAGCCTGTGGTACAAATAAACTGGGAAGCGTTCAGATTCAGGGGAATCCAGAACTCTGAAAGAAGAGCTTTAGGTTTCATCTTGAACAAATCCTTCATTTTAAACAGCTTAAAATGGAAACTTTTCTTTTAGTTTCTGAATCCTAAAAACCCAGCACAGATTAGCTGGTTACTTTAAAACATATGTACTTGCCTGGTGGGTATGATTTCCAGGAACATATACAGACTTGAACTGTTTCATGAGGTTCCGAGCTCCAGCAATATCCCGAAGCGTAGTGAAGAGTTCATCCACAGCACTTTTGGATTTGTGAAATGTCAGGTTAATTGAAGAGTCACAGCCTGAAACAGTCCAGAGATATTTGCTCGGGTGAACAAATCTTTAAACTGAGTTTTAATCATGACAGGCTGAGCTCCATGTAACATAGTTGGGTTCCTCTTTTTTTTTCTTAACCCTGTTTTCCCCTGGCTGTTCACCAATTGGGCTGTTTCAATCACCCCTGAGCAACGAAACACACCGAGTATAAATGCCTTTGACAGAAGGAGAACTCAGAATTGCCTGGGATTGCAGCCACTGGCTTCAACCCCTAGACTGTAGAAGTTTCACAAAAAGAAAGCTCCCTAGGGTCTGCTATCCTTAGAAAATAGCTCTGAGAAAAGAGGAGGAGACACAGAGAAAAATACAACAGAGGACTGTGATGAGCCACTCACACTTGAATCCCACCAACAGTTTCCATAAAATAGAACAGCCAGGACGAGAAAGCTCATAGAGCTGCTCCAATAACAGAACTTGCTGGACTGGGCATCTAATGTGCTAACAAAGCATACGGCATGTTTCAAAAGGCAGCCATTCAAAGCTGATCAAACACAAAGGGGGCCTAATAAGGAGACCATTCTCGGAAATGGTTCTATTTCTTTTTGAAACTTATAATAGATGGATTTATCCTCTATCTTGTTAGAAGCCTATTCAGAAGAGGAATGATTATGGTAAGTTAGAGGTTCAAAAAATAGAGAAAGACTGAAGATGAGTATTTTTGACTGTTGAAATACTGCAGATACAGGAATTCATCAATCCCCGTATCACCCTTATGAGGCAGGAGCTATTCTTTCTCCTATTTTAAGGACAAGAGAGCTGAGATCCAGGGAGATCAAGGAGCTCTCCCGCTAGCACGCTGACAGTGCTCGGCCCCCGTGGGCTCAGGCACCTGGCTCACGTGTAGGTCTGGAGAACAGTTCCTGCGGCCTCTGTGTCCTTCCTCAAGGACCTGCATGGCTGTTTCTGTGTCTCTCTTCCTGTCTGAGGGCTTCTTCTGGTTAGAAGCATGGAAGTCAGCACTCAGAATCAACAACACGATTGTTGTTGGGGGGAGAGTGGGAACCATTCTGAACTGTGGTCTCCACTGCCTGATGGGGAGGGGGCAGTAGGACTGAGTCCTAGCTGTCCACAACAGTAACTCACTCATGAATCCCTTCACTACTGGCTTTCTTTCCTCCCATCTCACTTCCCTACTTCCTGACCACACTACCTGGGACATCTTCTCAAATATAGTATTTGCACTCAAATTCTTGTCCCAGGATACCAGAGCTTCCAGGGCAATTTGAACACAGGCAGCCTAGACCTTCCCAGATAGTGCAGTGGTAAAGAATCTGCCCGCCAGTGCAGGAGATGCTAGAGACACAGGTCTGATCCAGGGATCGGGAAGATCCCCTGCAGAAGGAAATGGCAACCCACTCCAGTATTCTTGCCTGGGAAATCCCATAGACTGAGGAGCCTGGTGGGCTACAGTCCCTGGGGTCACAAAACAGTCGGACACGACTTAGTGACCAAACATCAAGATCAACAACAGTTTATACAATTTTTCATTTGTTCTCTTTCAATTTTTTTGAAAAGTGAGGACTATAATGTTCTTCCATTAGGCTGAGAGGGATAAAACCATATCCTGAATTGCAGAGTACTGAAAATAATAAACTACATGTGGAAGTTGTGGATTATACATTAGAATTAGGTTAAGCAAAGGCTGTGTAATTCCAAAGAGGCAGGTTGACTGTGGAGCAGGTTGTTGATAGAAATGTTTACAAGTAACCTGAACTCAAAGAAACCCAACAGAAAAATAAAACTGTCAAAGAAATTGTTGGGAAAAAACTCCTAAATTTACAAATAAACTAAAATTTCCCTAAAAAACAGTTAACATTCTCCACTGTTCAAATCAATTGCACACGGCAACCTCTTCCAAACCATCATCTCGTTCTGACGTGTCTGTTATCCTCAAAGCAGGTGCTCTGCAGGGGACATGCTTCTGGGACACCAGGCCAAAGGGGGTCTCATTTTTATCATCTCTGAGCATTTCATAATTATACCAATCTTCACCAAAAGCAGGGTTTACATTCAGTTACCCAAACCCTATAATGAAAAGTCACACACACACACACACACACACACACACACACATGCGAGAAATGTGGATCAAAGAAGACAAATGATGTGCAAAACCACATCACCATCTCCAGCAAAATGTCCCTCTGATCACAGCCCTGACCTCCTCCAGGTACACTGCCTCCTGCCTTTCAGAACATCTCCTTTGTGAATGCAGCTCATCCCAAACTCAGGCTGCAACTAATAATAGTTAGAGGAGATGTGGGTGCAAAAGTCATGAAATGGGATGAATTATTTTTCTGTGTAAAAGCCGTAATAGCCCACCTAAATAACCACTTACATCAGGTACTATTCTAAGGAGTTTATACATATTAGCTCATTTAATCTCCACAGAAACCCAGTGAGGTAAGTGAGGTAAGTACTATTATTACTTCCATTTTGCAGATGGGGGAACTCAGCCATGAGAAGTAACACATGGTCCCTCAATGAAAGCAGTAAAGCTATGATGCAAAGCCTGTGGTCTAACTGCCAAGACAGTCGTATCAGCCACCCCACTCTACTGTCTTCAGAAGGTCAGTAAAGCACTTTTTGTCATTCAGCCACCCAGTTATGTCTTTTGTAACCCCATGGACTGCAGCACGCCAGGCTTCCCTGTCCTTCACCATCTCTGGGAGCTTGCTCAAACTCATGTCCATTGAGTCGGTGATGACATCCAACTATCTCATCCTCTATTGTCCCCTTCTCCTCCTGCCCTCAATCTTTCCCAGCATTAGAAGTGCTTTTAAAGTGGAATGAGTGGCAGATGCTTTTCCTGGGAAGACCTGGGCCCGTTCCTGGGGTAGATGCCAATGGTGTGGTTCGCAGTCATACCCCTGGCTTGTCTTTCTCGTGCACACGAGGCGTGGGATCTTGGGACTTCCCAGGACTGCTGCACACCCTCCATCTCTCTGTCCTGTAAGGTGCTGTATTCAGTTACTGCTTATAAGCCCCTGACAGCCTGTTCCACTAAGCCCACTTAGGAGATAACGGTGTTTTGTAAGGGAACTCTAAGTGTGCAGTTCTAGTCAATTCTCATTTAATCCACTTAGTTTAATAGCTAATAAAGCAGAAGCTGATCCTAGCCTTTGGCCAAGCACAATCTGTGTACTTCAGTTGCCTGCTTCTTGATAAGGGAGGCCCCCAACCCCCAGGGCGCCCCTGAGTTCGTCTAAAATGGGGTATGACTCATGCCCCTGCAATTCCTTTCTCTGGAGGGCTTGGCGATCTCAGGCAGCGGTCCAGTTACTTCTCCAAGCAACCAAATAGGGCTCCCGTGTCCATGCCTGCCCTCCTCGGGTCCCTCTCACCCGCCTCCACTTACTGAAGTGGCTTTCCTTGGGCGGAGGGAGCAGAGCAGTTTCCATGGCTGTGAGTGCTGCGGGGACCGCAGTTCGGGCAGCAACAGAGTTAGAGTGGAGAGGAAGTCGAGTCGCTCAGCGATCCTTTCGGGAGGGCTGGAAAGAAGCTGAACCCCTCTCTCCCGTCTGCCTACTCCTTCTGTTTGGTTCTTGCACAGAGCAGATTTTAAACTTTCTGGGGCATGGGGAACTTTTTTCAAAACAGCCTGGCTTCCAGAGTTTGGGTTTTACTTCTTAGGTATTCAGGAAAATAAAGCATCTTGAAATAGGAGGCTGCCTTATCCAAAGCTTCAGTCTGGATTAGAGATGCAGCACCTCACCTAAGGTCTTCCAACACACACACACACACACACATACACACACACACAGAGAACCTGCGTGGGTGGATAACCTGGGGAGCATGGCTGGAATAGGACTTGAAATGCCTCCTTATTTAGTGATATTACTCTCTTCACAGCTGTAAAGGTCCCTCACATCCGACTAGGAAAAGCTAGGGTCGAAGAATATCATTTGAGCCTGGTCAAGAGGCTCTTTTCTTATCTGGACCCAAATTATCCAAAGATGGCCTCCTCATCCTTCTTCCGGCCCCAGGTTGAGAACATCAGGCCCATTTTTCCAATTTGCATCCCGCCCTCCTGCCTCTCAACAAACCCTTGGCAGCAGGGGACCCACCTCTGTGGGATCCCCAGGAAGTTAGAGAAAGGGTTGGCTTGGGAGGGCAAGACGGCCAGAAAGGACAGAGCGCTGGGAGGTCATGACCTCCGTCATCCATCCGGCTGTCTGACGATGCCTTTTCTCTCTTTTCAAACCATTGTTTTAAAGATGGAGTCATTTTTTCATGGTTCTCAATAAAAGGTTGGTAAATGAAAACAAAACCAAACACAATAAAAAACCCAAATAAAGCTTAGCGAGTGGTGTCACATCTGAAATCTCTTAGGGAGACTGATTACAGAGTGCAGGCCAGTCCTGGTAATGTTTATACTAGAAGCCCTCCTTTTCAAATGTACTTGGGACCAGTAGGTGTTAGGAGCCAAGTCATTTAACACAGGGGAGGGATCATGAAAAATTGATCTCTCTTCCATACACACACACGTATGTATACATATAGACATATATGTGTATTTGTGTGTATGTATAGTTCTGTTTAAAATTAAAGCATAAACTATGAACCTCTTTGCAGGGCGGCAGTGGAGACACAGACATAAGGGAACAGACTTGTGAACTTGTGGGAGAAGGAGAGGGTGGGAGAAGTGAGACAGCGGCCCTGAAACACACACATCACCATGTGTAAAACAGCCAGCCAGGGGGAATTGGCTGGGCAATGCAAGAAGCTCAACCTGCCGCTCTGTGGCAGCCTAGCGGGGAGGGAGGGAGGTTCAAGACGGAGGGGACCTTTGTATACTTACGGCTGATTCACGTTGTTGTATAGCACAAACCAACATAACATTTTAAAACAATAATCCTTCAATTACAAATAAATTTTTAAAAAATGTAAGTGTCTATTTATTCACTAATCTTTCAAGAAAAGGCTAAGGTCTTTTCTTTGAGTATTGTCTGCTGATTAGAGTTCT